GGGTTTTCTGCTTGCAGTTTCTGTTCCTAAACAACTACCACAAGAATAAAAAAACCTCACTGCCATCGAGTCAACCCTGACTCCTAGCAACTACGGGCGAGCCTAACCAACACTCTCCCCTAAGGTGCAGACCCTCTCTGCCCGAGCCTGAAACAAACAGCCCAAGGAGGCGCAGTGACTTTTCCATCCTGGGGGAGAACGGCCTTCCCAGGGCCCGGCGGCGTTCCCCATGTTTTGGTTTCTGTGGTCACTGTTCTAGCTGGGCAAGTGCCCAAAATCAACACAAACCTGAGCAGACCGTGACTGGATGTTGAGTGATCAATGTCTGCTCCCGAGTCCCCAAACTGTCTCGCTGCTGTACCCCGCTACCTCCCCACCCTCTACGACTCAGTGTCAGAGGTCATCCAGTGTCCTCCCTTCCTCAGTGCTGCAAACACTTGGCTGAAATACGGCTGCTTCCCTTCCCGAGAGAGGAAGCGGTCAGCCTCTTTCGTGTGTACTGGCTCACTAGCACTAAAGGGCAAGTTTTAAAAGGTTATTCTCGTTCACTGCTGTGACAGCAACATCCGAGAACTCTTACGCTACTTTGAGGAATAAGCATGTCCAAAGGAAAACCACACATGGGTTACCAAGCCAGTACGACGCCTAGCAATCCCACAAGACTGAGCACAACCACCCCATTTGGCTTCCAAGGTTGTACCCTCACAGAAGCAGACGCCTCATCTTTCTCCCCCCGCAGGATGGCTGATGAGTTTGAACTGCTGACCTCTGGGTTGCAGCCAAGTGCTTTCACGTCACCTGATAAACATGTAATTATAAATCAATCCATATTGCTTAAAAATCACCTTCCTATGCCATCATAAGGGAGCTCTGGTGGCATAATGGTTATGTTGAACCGCTAACCACAGGGTCAACCGTTCGAAGCCACCAGCCGCTCCTTGGCAGAGAGGCTACCTACGCCTGTAAAGGCAGTCCCAGAAATTGGGTGGCTGTGAGTCAGAATCGACTTGACGGCAGTGAGCTTGTTTTTCATTTTGGCTTTTTTATATACCATCATGAAGCATGAGGGAGCCTGCTTTAC